TCTCTCTCTCTCTCTCTCTCTCTCTCTCTCTCCTTCTCTCTCTCTCTCTCTCTCTCTCCTGCCATGATGCCATCCACCATCACGTGACAGCCAGGAGGGCCCTTCCCAGAGCCCTTGCTGTGCTGCTTGGATATTCAGCGTCCAAAACTATGAGCTACATAAACCCTTTTCTTCATAAGTCTTCCAGCTTCTGGCATTTTGTTAGGGGAAGAGGAAATGGGTGGATACATGACATGGGGCTGGGCCAACCAGCAAGTTATGAGAAGAACAGGATGTTTGTGTCTCAAGGACAGCCAGAGCCAGGGTGTGAATGGCCCAGGACTCTTCATCTCTCTCTGCTCCTCCCTGGGGAGCCTGATCTCTCCCTCTCTGCAGGGTGGACTTCCCCACAAGAGGCATGGAAGTCAGCTCTCTCTAACATCCAGGAAAAACTGATTCACTGACAAATCAAACATCCCGGGGTGGAGTCTACACACTCAGGGTGGCAGGGAGCCTGTCTCTCAGCCACACATGGACACTTGGCCCATCCACAACACCAGTGAACTGTGGGGATGGGGAGCTCCCCATGGACCCAGCAGCTCCCAGGAGAAACTTAGCTTGGAGCTGAAGTAGAGGAACAGCCACGGCAGGAAGGAGGGGTGGGGAGGTGTCCCACAGCACGGGTGCCCAGTGCCAGCTCGGAAAATCCTTTCTCTTCACATGGAAAATGCCCATTCCCCAAGTCTCGCCTCAGGCATCACCTCCACAAAATGCTTTCCCCAACCCCAGTCTGGATCAGGGGTCCTGCCTGTGTGTCCCTGAGCACCAGCACCTGCATTCACCTCTTCACTGCATTTCTGGTCAGTCGCCTGAACCCTTCTCCTACTCCCTGGCTATACACTCCTTTGAAGAGCAACAGCAGCCAGGCATCTTTGCATTTCTAACCCCAGCTCAGAGCCTACGTTCAGTAAACATTTCTTGAATAATGCATCAAAGAAATGTTTTTTAAAAAAAAAAAAGAGTCCATACAGTGGTGACAAGAAAGAGACTACATACCCAGTAACTCTAATGTAGCTCTGGGGAGAGAGAGAAGGGAGGGAGGGAGGAAGAGAGAGAGAGACAGACAGACAGAGAGACAGAGAGAGGTGGAGACAGAGATTGGGATTACATATGTAAGAGAAAGATCTTGTTTTTATAACAGAGCCACTCCCATGATAACTAGCTATATCCCTCAGCGTTCCTGTCCCTGGGACAAAATGCCTGACACCCACAGTTTAAAGGAGGAGAGGTTTTTTTGGGCTCATGGTTTCAGAGGATTCAGTCCATGGTCAGCTGGCTCCAAGGCAGAAACAGCATGGCGGGAAAAAGGGCTTGGGTGGAGGAGAGCTGCTCACCCCACAGCAGCCAGGAAGCAGAGAGGAGAGGACCCAAGGAGAGAGGTGCAACCTCCCAAGGCCTAGCACCAGTGTTGCCCCTCTTCCACGTGGGCCCCACCTCCTGACCGCCCTCATCCATACATCAGTCCACTGATGAGTACAGCACCCCCAAACCAATCGCCTCCTGAAAGCCCCACCTCTGACACACATGAGCCTTTGGGGGGCCATATTAGATCTAAACCCTAAAACTAACCCTGTCCTTTGATAAGGACATTAACCTGTCGTGAGGGTGGAGCCCTCAGACCTCATCGCCTCCTAAAGGTCCCACCTTCCCAGATCCTTTCAGTGCAATTCATTTGCCTGTGAGTTTGTTGGGAACACACAGAGCACAGCAGCACCCCAGGCAGGAAATCTGGATGTTGCCCAAGCAGATCCCTTGCCCTGCTGAGCTGGGTGTCGGCCCCAGACTGGACATGCATGGACATGGGCCATGAGTCTGCAGGTCCCTGCTTCCAAGAAATGCTGGTGCTGAACTCTTCTTCCTGGGAAATGTTTGTGAAAACTCTCCTGAAATCATGGGCCGTGTTGTGAAAGAAGCCAAAGGTGCGCGGAGAAGGATTCCGAGGCAAGCATGCTCTCGGTCCTCGGCTTGTTTCTGTCTAACCTCAGGCACGCGGTTCACTGACAGCCCCTAAGCGGGTCTCCTAAGTGCTGCCCGGTACCTGGCCGGGACAGCTGACCTCACGTCAGCACACTGGGCTCCCGTACCCAGGTACTCGGCCACACACTATTCTGGGTGGTGAAACGCTGCTTCTGTGTGGTTGCTTTTTCATGGGGTTAGCACCTGATCAGCAGACTTAGGAAAGCAGGTCGCACTCTGTAACGCGGGGCGACCTCATCTGCAGGAGATCTTTGTCAACGAAGGTCAAGGAGGAGTCTGTGACCGGCTGATGTGAGAGACAGCTCTCCCTGGGTCTCCACCCGGGGTCCACCTGCGGCCCAGGCACTCACCAAGCTTCCGGAATCTCATGAGGCCGTTCCTCAAATCAGCCTTCTGTCTGTCTGTCTGTCTGTCTGTCTCTCCCCCCACCTTCCATCTGCCCTCTCTTCTCTTCCTGTCTCCCTCTCCTTTCTCCCCTCCCCTCCCCTCCCCCTCCGTCTTCTCCTCCTCTTCCTTTTCCTTCCCCTCATCTTTCGTTGGCGATGTGCAGGGACATGGGCCTGTCTGCACACACGTGGCCTCGTTTTTACAGACTGTTGTCAAGTGTAGCTTCTGTCTACCCCCTGAGTGGCTGGCAGAGATTTTGGGTTTTTGAAAGGGAAGAGAAATTCCCTGGGGTTTAGATCTTTTTTAAAAGGATGTGTGTAAAATTCTACCGAGTTTTTTAAAACTATGCTTTATTTCGCCAAAGTGGCGCATTCGAGGAGAAATTGCAAGCTCCATTTTAGAAAACGGTTCCAAACGGTTCGCCCTGTCGTCACTAGAGGGCAGCAGAGGGACTTCTGCGACTTCCGACCCCTGGTTTTTGCAGGGACGCGGAGGGGAGACAACGCAATCGCTTTATTTTGGTGGAGGTGACGGAGTTTTTCTCTTCAGCATGACCATGTCAAGCCACCATCGTAAGTACTGATAAGGGAAATCAGTGCCCTGCAGTGCGGAAACGATGTTAATACATTATCGTCAGCCGGGTGTGAGGGCAGGGCCCAGGAGGGCCAGGGCGGCGCAGGGGAGCCAGCCAGACCCCGGAGGCTCTCCATCCCACTTGTGCGCACCTCCTCGGTGTCCCTGACCCGCAGCGACCACTCAGTTTTTAAGCTGGTCGTGACTAAATGTCTATTTTCCTAGCCATACGGTCTCAGTCACCCTGATACAGAGAAAATATAACTCCCGACCTGTAAGATGTCACCCGTGCCGAATGTACGGTCTCACAACATCGAGAAGTCAGTCGAGGGCCAAGGGAGCAAGTCACGAGAGTCTTACTGGAAATAAAGGAAGGAGAAGGATAGCCCCGGATTTCCAGGAGGGGCCGCACGAGCAGGTGGCCACAAGACCCTTTGTCAGGATACCCTGACACCAAGTCACAACGTGGGGACAGTGTGGCCCGACTGCAGTCACCCTGCAGGATCGCAAGTCTGGCTGCTTAGCTAACACTGATCCACTCGGGAAACGGGTCACGCAGCAGGGTGCACGAAAAGAGGAGAACTCCTGGGAGGGGGCATCCTGGAGCACCGGTCACCCACCTATGCGGCTGATGCCTGCCCAGGCCGCTGGACCCGTGGTGCTGATTACAGGACAATCTCGAGGTGCGTTTATCTCGAAGGCCTGGCTATTGCTTCTCCGTCCCCAGGCCGGGCTGTCCTGTGCTGACTTCCCCGAGGCCCCAGTCTCCCTCTCTTAGTCTCTAACTAATTTAGCTGCCTAGAATGACCTGGAGGACGAGGATGACAGCTTGTCACTTCTCTCTCCCTGGGCTGTCTTGGTGCAGCCAGGCATGGCCCCCAGGAAGCCTTTCTAAAGGACGGGCAGTCATCCTCGGTATCTACGGGGGCCTGGTCCCCAAACCTGCCCAGGCCAAGTCGCTTACATGACACGCTATGTTTGTGTATAACCTGTGTGTGTCCCTTAAACCCCCCTAGGTGATCTGTAACCCCCAAAACGTAACTGTGGAAGCAGTTGTTAGGCTGTAAGGCACAGTATTTCCTAATGGGTTATGGAGCACACATTCACAATAGATGCAAATTGTTTTCCCAGATATCCCTTATCCCCGCTCGGTTGGACAGAGATGCAGAACCTACAGACAGGGAACGCCACAGTTCGACTTATTCCGTGGGTGTGGAAGTTGTTGGATAAACGCCCGGTCAGGTGCCCCAGAGACCACATCTCCTGCAGGGATGTAGACAGAGCAAACGGGACTCGGAGGGAGCGGAAGGCCTTCTAAATCTAGGGTTCCACTGCTCACGAGCCATGGCAATAATAACCCAGCGCCCCCCAGAGCCCGGGACACAACGAGCCCCGGGGGGCGGGTGCAGCTCAAGCAGCAGTGACAGTTGACAAACGCTGCCAAGGGCAGACACCGGGGCAGCATGCTCAGCACTGTGTTGGGACGTCGCACACATTCACAGCACAGTCATTGAGTGAATGTCCGCTTGGCTCCACGTGTGGACCCAGATGTATTCGTGAGCACGGCTCAGGGCCGGAAGCTGCTCCTGGCTCCCTGCGGCCCAGCTGGCAACTCTCGAGCAGCGCTCGAGCACACCCCTGGCAAAGGCAGCTCTTTCTGACTACCAAAGTGAATGGCTTCTCTTAACCCTGTTCTCGCTCATTCTTACGGCAGGTATCAGGTGGCTGCCTGGCTTCGGGACAGTTCATATAAAAAATAAACGCACACCTCTCTGTCTTCTAAGGTCTGCCAGAACACTGCCGCTCCTGTTCTGCTTCTGTAAACCCGAGATCAGTGATTTTTGCCACAAAGGATCTGACAGGCTCTTGCAGTCCCGAGACAGGCAGCAGGGCAGAGGCGCTGACCTCAGACCAGGTAGTGTGGGGGGAAATAGGCCACCCCAGGTAAGTCTGTGACCCAGCGTGACCTTCAGTGGGCTTCACCTCAGCTTCAGTTACCTCTTCTGTGAAAAGAGAGAAAAGAGATGGAGTGGGAAAGCATCTTCAGCCCCCTCTACTCCTGAAAGCTCTCTGATTGTGGCTGAGATATGGGTCACAAAAGCAACCACCCCTGCAGGTAAAGTGGCTCACCAAACCCACGCCTGCAAACACCAGCTTAGTCCTGCTTTAGGTGATGGTGCTCAGTTCCTGGATAGAAAACAGAGGAGGCTGCTACTCAGGTGTCTAAACTGCTCCCTAACACGAGTCTCTGAGAGACTCAGCAAGTGACTCCTCAGAAAGTCACTGCCCAGTGGACCTTTGCCATCTTTTCAGTCAGCACTCAGCTTTGAGCTCTCTCAGGCACTTCCAAGGGTCTGCCTGATAAGGAACAATGGACGGCTCTTTTCTGGAGGCCCATTCCTGGGATGTTTCCACACCCCCTACACAGAAAGTAACTTCCTGCTGCCTCTGCCTTGGATTAACCCCCAGCAGTCATCCTTTGCGGGTGTGCAGATGTTCTCTCTAAACCCGGGGGACCTCAGTGTGTGCACCTTGCTGCAGTGCCGGCGGCTTCCTTGTCAGCACCTTTATTTACCTCTGCTGAGGTATCTGATGCCTCCATGTTCTGGTCTGCTGAGAGCTCTTCTGTGTGTCCTAGATCACTGATTCCCGCTCTATCCTTTGCCCCTCCTGTCTAATTTCCTTCTTTAAAGAAATTTATGGCCAGGTGTAGTGGTGCCCACCTGTAATCCCAGCCCTCAGGAAGAGGAGCCTGAGGCAGGAAGATTGCTGGAAGTTCGAGGCCAGCTTGGGCTACACAACCTCAAAAAAAGCAAAAAAAACCAAAAACAGAAAAAAGAAATTTGTAGAAATCTGTAACTCAGTAAAATCCTCTTTTTTCCCCAAGAGAAAAAATATTTTTATTTCTCCCATTTAATTATTAATCCATTTTAAGGGAATTTCTTGAGGGAGTAGAAATAAATATGTGTGGTCAATCAGTCATGTTGAGCTGCAAGTCCAAGTAGAAGCCTTGATATTAATAACGTTAATGGTAGTCAAGGTGCATTTAAGGCAAAATAATTATATGTGATGAAGCGGTCGTTTTAACGACAATGGTTTCTATCTTGTGTGGAAATGGATCATGTGTCTTTAGAATCTTGGTAACAACCATCAAAACTGCAGAAAGTACACAGAAAAATAGATCAAACTTTATGGTAGGAAAAGATGTTAACTTATGTACTGCAGTGTATGACAAATTGTGTTTACTTAAAAAATTAGTTCTCAGATTTTCTCCAAAGCCTTACAAATTCAATACTCTCAGCTGCTGTAGAATGATATCCTGAGCATGCAAATCCAGTGATTATCAGTGTTCGGCCCAGGGACTCCAGCAAGTCTCCAAACCCTATTATGACCTTCTCATTTTAGGGTCCCCAAGAGGAGACCAAGGTTGGGTCAAGTCTAGTCAGTGCCTGGATATTTACATTGAATATAAATAGCATATAGTACGTTGATTTCCACCTGTCATTTTACTGTTTGTGCTTCTCCTCTGATGTGTATTCTACTTCCTCTTTCCAGCTTCTTGTATTATTTGAAGTTTAAAAAACTGTCTATCTTAATTCATTTTTATTTTAATTATATCTTTTTTATAGCCTTCTTAGTCATCACTTTGGGGATTAAAAAACACAAATTAGTTTCACATTACAATAGGAAAATACTTGACACAGGAAACTTAGGAGGGAAAGAGAGATTTATTTTGGCTCATGGTTCTTGAGATCCAGGTCCAAGATTGGGTGGCCCCAGTGGTTTGGACCTCCTATAAGGGAGGCACAGGATGGGAGAAGTGCAGGCAGGAGGGAGTGATTACCAGTGCTCAAGGGAGAGGAGGGGAGTGGAGCGGGGAGGAGAGGAGAGGTTGGGCCCCACCCTCCTTTGAGGCCACGCCCCTAATGACCTAAAGGCCTCCCAGGAGGCCCCGCCTCTGAAAGAGCCAAGGCCTTAACACAGAAACGGGCCTTTGGGAGCATCAAAGTACAAACCACAGCACCAATCTAGTCATTTCAAGGGCAATTTAGAATCTATATCTTACCGTTTTAACTGGAATGTAAAACATAGCATTGTATGGGTCTCTACCCGCCCCCCCCCGCCCCTTTATGTTTTCTATATTACAATTCCGCGCATTTCAAACTCCGTGAGGGAATGCTATATTCCACACGTTCAACCATCCAACACGTACTGGAGCTCAGAAAGAGAGGAGTGTTTATCCGATTTGTCATTCACCGTTACCATCATTCCTCCTTGGTTTCTGAAGTCCCAAGTGTCCCTGGGATCGCTGCTTTCTGCTGAAGATCTTGTTTAGCTGTTCTCCTAACTAGATCTCCCAGTGGTGGCTTCCTAGTTTCCCTTTGTGTAAGAATGCTTTGATTTCCCAGAACTGAGTTTATGTTCAGCTCCTTCAGCACTTTAAAGTCTTATTCTATTTCCTCCTGGTCCCACGTTCTTCAGAAACCAGTAGTTACTGGAATTCAAGATCCTCTATTGGCACTGCCTTGCTTTTCTATGACTGCTTTCAAGATTTTTTCATAATCTTCATTTTTCCACAATTTTATTATGATGCATCTGGGCACAGATTTATTTGCATTCATCCTGTCGAGTTCGTTTGCTGTTGTAAATCAACAGGTATGTGCTTTGCTAAACTGGGATAGTTCTCTGCCATGACTAGTGTTATTATTGTTTTGGTTCTGGGGATGGAACCTGAGCCTTGCACACAACAAGCAGGTGTTCTCCCACTGTGCTACACCCAGCTCTCAGCCCAGAGGTTTGGACAGCCTCATTCCACCCTGCATGCTGTCCTCTCTGCTCTAGACTCCAGCAGTGCAAGTATTAGACCTGTAATACTTGCTCTGGAGTGAAGCTCAGCCAGTCCCAGCACCTGGAAGGAAGCTCCCCTGCTGCCATCCCAAGCTTCTAGGGCAGAGAAGGTGAGCCGCATGGGTGCCAGAAGCACCCCCCACACACACACAAATGAGAAGACACATAAACAAGCCTCAAAAACAGACTTCTGGATCACCTACAGCAACCCCAAAGGGAAACGAGATGGAACAATCTGATACTCAA